TCATTTTTGTTAACCCATTTTGTGTTCCCTTAAAAAGGACTTTTTGTATAATTCTGAAACATACATTATTTTTCATTATTTTACCTCTGGCTGTTCACCACTTGCCTTTGTACCATTTCAAGCTATTCATTGGACTTGAACGACCTGAATTGCAATAAATAACTGGAAAAATTGGGGCGCTCTAAAGCTTTAGAAATCGTTTTCTTATTAAAATGTCTTATGTTTGCCATGGTAAATGTGTAGGGCTTTTTTGATGAGTGATTTTTATGTTTAGATGTAAACAAAATTCTGCAGTTAAACACAATCATGTTTTCTCTCCAGGAAAATCCATTCCGCAACAGGATCGTGGAGTCATTCTCAGAGGACGGGATGGGAAATCTTAGCTTCAATGAGTTTGTGGACATGTTTTCAGTCCTGAGTGAAATGGCTCCTAGAGAACTCAAGGCCATATATGCCTTTAAAATATACGGTAACATTTCAAAGCATCTGTACGTTATAGAACTTCGTTAATTAAAATGTTCTAATTCTAACTTCTGTTGCTGATAGATTTCAATGTGGATAATTACCTGTGCAAAGAGGACCTGGAAAAGACTCTGAATAAGTTGACAAAGGAGGAGCTGACTCCTGAAGAAGTTGAGCTGGTGTGTGAGAAAACCATTGAGGAGTCAGATTTGGACGGAGACCACAAACTTTCTTTTGCTGACTTTGAAAATATGATATCCAGGGCCCCGGATTTTTTAAGGTAAATAAATTCATGTTATTGCAACAACATTTTAGGATTATGATAAATGAAAAACAGAATTGGACTCTGGATTCCTCCCACAGTCCAAAGACATGTTTGTTAGGTTAAAATAAAACAACTGGGTGGCATGTCATTACTTAAACCATGTCATGCAGACATGTTGTAAAAAGAAGAAGGCCTGGATTTCAATCAAAATTGAGGTCATTATAATTGGCCCTAGAAATCTCACAAACGTGCCTAATCAGGTACTTAATCTGGATGGCATTACTTTGGCCTCAAGTAACACTGTGAAGACTATTGGAGCCATTGTTTGACCAGGATTGTCATGATCTGCTGGCGCAGACTGCGCTTTGAACAGAGGACTGAACTGCAGACATTTATAGACAGGACTGGGCTTAACAAAAAGTGAGCCGTTAATTTAGGCTGGGTGAAAATCAAACAAAAACGCAAAACAAAAGGCAAAATGAGACTCAGACTAACAACAACCTAAACTGTGAAGTGCATGGAGCATGGAGCAAGGAGGGAGATGAAGTTGCGTTCCGGCAAGGGACAACAGGGAACTGACACAATGAATACACAGGTGATTAGAGAGCGGAGACAGCAAGGAAACATAGCTGAAACAAATAAGACACAGAAACAAGAAGCAAAACTAAACACAAGCACATGAGACAAGGGCCATCAAAATAAGACAGGAAACTTATTAAGGCGCAGGCTAAGCTACACAACTTGACGTGGGAAAACAATAGCACACACAGCAGACATACATGAAAGAGCTGAAAGACAGAGCGAGCCAGGGAGCTAGAGATGAGAGAGAGACAAAGAGAGAGAGAGACCGAGCGACGGAGGCAGAGAGGAACAGAGCGAAAACAAACATGACAGAGAGAGAAAATAAACAGAGACATAACCGGGGAAACGGATAAATAAACACAGGACAAGAGGGATGAGACGAAGACTAAAAGAATAGACAAGAAACCAAAACTACAAATAAACCTTAGAGGCAATAAAGGAACTAAACTCAAAACTAAACTGTACAAAACTTGAACTTAAAACAATCTTCATCATGCAAAAGAAAGAATCATGAATCCAAAATAAACTCAAAACGCTGGGTCAAAAACAGGACCAGGAAATGGATATGACTGCTTTCTTTTATTTGTGCAGTATCTCCAAAATTAGAACTATCCCTTTACAGAGAAATGATGAAAAACCAGTTCATGTATTCATTACTGCTGTAATTTAATCATGCTGCTCTAAAACCTCTGTAAAAAGCCTTCAGTTTATCCAAATTCTGCAGCAAATGTAGAAACAGGAACAAGAACCAGAGAGATCACATTTATTCCATATTGGCTTCTCTTCACTGGCTCTTTGTTAAATACAGAATTAAATTTGAAATCCTTCTCACTCCTAAACAGTTTTGAATAATCGGGCTCTATCATACCCCTCCCCAGCTGATCAAGCTGATTGCTGCCCCTTACTGAGCCTTATTCTGCTGGAGGTTTCTTCCCATTAAAAGGGAGTTTTTCCTTTCCACTGTCACCAAGTGCACGGTCACAGGAGATTGTTTGAATGTCGGGGCTTTCTCCAGAATACTTTAAGGTCTTTATCTTATTTGTTGTTGTGATTTGCTGCTAAAATAACTAAACCTGAATTGAATCGAATCTTATGTATATGCTTAAACTTATTTTGTGTATTTTACATTGTGTTTAATTATGTGTGTATTAATGTCTATGTCACCACTGTTGATTAAACTGTTATCTTGTCTGTCTTGGCCAGGACACTCTCGCAAATGACATTTTAAAAATGAAGAATCTTATTTCTCAGGTTGAGTAAAGGATAAAAATGTTTCATGCACAGTAATTGTTACTTTTCTAATAATCAACTTTATTATTTTTTCAGTACCTTTCATATAAGAATCTGAGAGGGTTGGATGGACAGTTTCTAAGTTGGCTGGACCTCAAGACTTTACCTGAGCCATGTCCTGATCACAGCACAGTAGTTGTCTGTCACTCTCCATCGTACCTCTCTGACCTTTACTGCAGTCGGAACTTGAGAAGATGGATTCTGATGATAGCAAATTTTCTAAACCCTGTAATTGTTTTGAAACCATGAAAAGGCAGCATATCAAATGTTTTAATTTGATGCTAAAAACAAGAAGAAGGGCTAAAAAAAAAAAGAAAAGCTGACTAAGACAAAAAAAAAAAATAATCACAGCTACCAAGTATCATAGTTAAATAGTAATGTGACCGGGTATAATGAAAAAGAGCAACTCGGAGAAATGCATTAGCTATTAATTGTACTACATAATCTAATCAAAAGTTCAGAGAAGATGTTGTCTTCACAAAGAGATGTCTCTCTATGCAAGAGCAAAACTAAAAACCGATACTGAATGGCACACTGTATTAAAACCAGACATATATCAGCAGTGAATATCATTGCTTGGTCTCAGGAACACTTTCAAAACCATTATTATTGAAACTACATTGCACATGATTCCCTGTGAAGTCTTTCTGCAGTGGCACCTCCAGAGACATCCAGTATTTATAGAGCTACAGATAAAACTTGAAGCACAGCAGCAGGATTAAGGGATATTTTATAGCTATGCAATAAATTAAGTATTTATGTTGTTATTGTGGTCGTACTTTGCTTAAATATAATGACAGTCATGTTGTACTGTTCTCCAGTTAGATGAAGGGCTTTGTCATCCAAACTCTTTCATCATCTGCCATTTACACAAGATGTCAGTTACTGCCATGTTTTGGATATGTATTTTATAGGACTTCATGTAATGTCTTGTATTTGTCTTCCTTTGAATAAATGTGGTTTTCCAGTGTGCTCTGACTTAATGCACTTGTAATTTACTCATAACAAGATATGAAGATGTGTGCACATTAAAAATTAGGAAGCATGTGCTTCAGCTTAGCCTCTCATGTGAGCTATAATACATTTTTAGGGAGGATGTGATTAAGACAGAGCTGCCTCGCGTTCACCAGCCTGTGAACATCCTGCACATTCGGCTAATTTCAGCAGAAAGCTGGAGGAAATGGTTTTGGCTATGTTGGTTGATGATTAACATGTGGTGGTTTCTTGGCTGGAGGATACAGATTTGCATCAGTTACACATGGTGTATTGTGTTTTAGATTTCATGTTTAGCTCAGTAGTTCTTATGAGTCATACTGCAGAATTGGTTGATAGGTATAGCCATACATGCAGACCTTCACAGTCTCTAAGGAGTTTGGGTCGGCTGAGGCTTAATCTGATTTTTCTTTCTTTTTGGCAAGTGCAATGATTGCAAAATGGTCTTGACAAGTTGAAAGACGGCCTTGGCCAAGTGCTGAGGTGCTCAAATACAGAAAAGTCACACGTAGAGATACCGTTTGATGTTGTGTGTTTTGTGGAAAGCATTTTGGTATTGGTAACACAAACTCTAAAGTGTTGTGAGCTCCTATGCCACCACAGGCCCAGACAACAGGCAGAAAAGGTTGTGTGTGGTGCATCTGAGCAAACTCCATGTTTATGTGCAACACCTCATCTGGATAAAACACAAGTGCAGCAGTAAATGGAATGAATTCTCCTCAACTGTACTCTGAAAAATGAAGAGAGGGGATACTGAGGGCCTTATTTTAACTGACAGTTAAAATCTGTTCAGTTGTTGTGTTCAGTTTAATAAGCAATCACCAGAGCAGCTAGTTAATTCTTCAGTGCCTTATCTGAAGATTCATTTATGAGGACAGCATCAAATATTTAGGGCAGTAGAGTGCTGATTGCAGAGCTTCATTAATGACGGGTGTCACAGGGAACATCTGTTAGTTATGATCTCGGCAGAGCCACTTTCTGCTGCAGTGTGATTATGATGCTGTAAAACAGCCATTACTTTAAGCAACTGTTTCTGAGGGTGAGAGCGGCCCAACAGGGTGTGAAACCCACGCTGGTTTCGCTGTTTGAGAGCTCAATTTGATCTGATTTAAGCTCTCTTGTTCTGCTTCGACAGCATAGCAGTGAAGATTTCTCGCTTTTCTTTAAAAATGAAATAACTTGTGAACAATTTCAAACACTTCACTTGAGCCAAATATACATTCAAAAGTGTACATAAACCATAACAAATAATCAGTGACAGTGTTAAGTGAGTGAGCTGTGTGTTTGTGATTGTTTCGAATATTCTTTATGGCAGCTGAGAAAACTTTATCGAGATAAAGACACTAATGGCATGTGGGTGAAAGCTCTCACACTAATAGGTAGACCTTAAATGCAATTTACATTTATTATACGATCAACAATAAACCTTCAAGCTTCAACAATTTCACGAGTTTTAAACACAATAACAATTTGTTTACACTGTGCTGTTAGTAACGGTGTAATATGCAATGCCTGTCAAACACATCAGTTACCCTTAAGTGTTTCTTAATGCTACATAGAGTAGTTATTTATATAATTGTAAGAATGTAATGCTTAATCGCTGTCAACCTTACACATTTTGTTATGTCAGTGTGCTTTCAGATGTGCAGAAATACAGTCAGGCAGTTATGACTCTTGTCTTTGATAAGTTTTTAAAATCATTACCCCATGTTTTCCAGTGACGCTTTATCATGTAGATCTCAATTGTGAAACAGAAGGCGACAGAAATGCCACAAAGTTAATGATCTGCCGAGCTGAATGTTTGATTATCAAGAGCTTTAGCATACCCTAGTCTGCACTGCCTGACTTAAACCAGGAACTGCTTATTTCCTAACATCTGTCACACTGTCCTACATGAAATGACACAGTAGCTCTACTTTTCTCCTCCTTTTTTTTTCTTTTTACTGCTTCAGAGGATAACCATGAAAGATATACACTAAGTATTCCCTTTATTGTACGTTTACTGGCCCCAGTAAAAGTATAATTAACAAAGTAAAAGCAAATGATAGAAGATAATAAACCTTTAACCCACTTCCCCGTTGGTGTCACAAACAGACGTTTGAAAACTGTATGCAAATAAAGTTTCCTGTGAATGTGCAAAACTGACGGAAGCAGCATGTAACATTTTTAAAGATCAACTGTAAACACGGTGCCATGAGATGAATTTCCACATATGGTAATTTTCTGTCACAACATGATTTAGTGTTTTCAGGGAATGCTCTTGGAGTGAGCGATGGAAAAACCATAATCAGAGTGCATTACATGGCCAGGGCACGCAAAAGGTGGTAGCATTTTCATAGCGGTGATAATAGTTGTACGTTGTTGTATCCTGATTTATTTTTATTTATTATTTGCATCTCGAGCTCCACATGTGGAAATGCTGTCATCGCTCCACAGCAGCTCTAAACCGCACATCCCCATTTCTTCACAGTTATCCTCTTCTCCGTTACCTACAGCCCGTAGACACATCTGCATACATATATGTATCTACAGGATACATGTTGACAGGAAAGTGTAGCATATACGCCCAGGTTTGTGTGCACTGATGAGAAGTAGATGAAAACAGTTCTCCTCAACATAAGCTGCAGTTCAAGGTGAATCACATGCTGTGGACTGAACAGCAGGTTTTTCCCCCTTTACAGTCATACTTTCATTGGGGCCCCTGAAACCTGCTGTACATTTTCCCCACCCTAATGATCACCCCGAAAGTAATTATTTAGTAATATTCTAATAACAGTAATGGCAGAGCCTCTTATACAGTAGATTGCTTTTAATATGACATACACGTAACACAGTTTTTACCACATGTAAAAACCTGTTCGTGGAAAGGAAACTACACACGTATCGTTATATTTTTAAATAAATACGTTAAAAAAAAACATACATAAATTCTCATTAAATCGTTAATACATGACAGTGGTTTTCCAGAGTGTATTATATACTAGTAGTGTGAAATCATCAAAACAAGTAAACGTTTTCCTCAGTACGCTGTAAAGTAGCCTCTTTACCATTTCTTCTTGTTCTCAGGGAAGAGCCACTTCCATTTGTCGTTCTGTAAGAGGTAAATAAATTCATTATAATACTCATAATAAGTATGACACACAAAAGAATTGTTTCTTTTAATTAAAGTGCTTTGAAAACATTACAAACCTTAAATCCCCAGGACGAGTTGGTCTGTTTGCGTCTCATGTCCTCCAGAGGCTCGTAAGTGTTGCTGCTGGCTTTAGGGTTGATTGGTTCCTTGTGGCTGCGAATCGGCTCATATGTGAAGTCAGCGGGGGCTTCGCCAGGGACCTCGGCATACACAGAATCTGTGCGCTCCTCTGGTATTGACAATCTAGTGTCAAAGGACGTAGTGTGTGGGCTCCCGGGCCTGCCAGCCAGGTGATAAACTGCATTATCACTCAAGTAGTCCAGGCTGTGACTGCTGCTTGGTCTGCTGCCCAAATCTGTCCTCTCTGACTGGGAGCTGCTGCCGTTCCCTTGTCTGACTGGCCTGGGGGAAAGTCTCGGAGGGGTGTCGGGAGGTGCGTTCAGTCTGTAAGACTGCTCCCCGTCAGAACTGCTGTCCAGGAGTGGCAGAGACCTGCTTTTGCTGTCTAGGATGCTGAGCTCCGAGTAAACGGTCTCTGGACGTGACGGAGGACTGCATCTGCCATTGATTTGATCCTTGGAAGTCGAACTCAAATTAGGTCTGGGTAAACTGTCCTGATGCACGTGTTGGTCTCTGGGTGTAACCCTTGGCGACTGCTTCCTGAGCTGGGCGTACAAAACCCCCTCATGCTCGTTGATGGTGGCACTATCGAGGTGCCTGCTCCTTCGAGGCAACGGCGGACCTTCCTGTTTTACAAAACAAGTTTCTAAAAGTCAGTGAGGTGAAATAAACAATGGAACTATTTTCAGCACATTAGTTTGGACAGCAGCTCTATAATTTATTGACTGTATTCACCTCGTGCGCCCTGTTGCCCTTGGGTGGCCGTTTAGGCTGCTCATCTAAACTCGAGTTAATCTGTTTTCGTTGCCTGTTCTTCACAGCGCTGACAGCGGCAACAGGTTTTTCTTTGGGGCTAATCTGGATAACATCATATAGGTCTTCATCCAGGGCCTGAAAGAACAAAACATCACTTGGACCTCTATCTTTCACCTTTGGCATTTAAAGAAAGAACTCAAAAGAAGAGGTTTGTCTCACCTCAAAACACGAATTTGTCAGGTACTCTCCATATGGTTCAATGGGGCTTGTTTTGTAGTAATCTACCAGACTGGGCACTGTGTCGTGTACCTCGGTGTCTCCATAGACTACAAACTGCCCCATTTCATTCTGGTTTATCACAAAGTGTCGACAACGATCCCTGCCTCTGCAACAACAACAACAACAACAAAAAAGTTTGTTAAGCATTGACACATTTTATAGTTGGAGCAAGCTAAAATAACATATATTCACACGACTTTCTGACTTTTGAAACATGAATATCCTCCAATAAAATAAGCCACCAAACAAAAGCTTAGAAGTGGGGTTAGAAAATAGATAGATTTGATGGATTTGACACACATTATCTTTAAGACACTTTATATATACATAAGTCATAATTTCTGGAAGCAAAGCAGTTTACCTTCAGCACAACAACACTACACAACTCCTACTTTAGTGTACTTTAGACTAAACCACCACTCACCTATAGGACAGGATGTACCCGATGGCCTTTTCACTAAGACGGATCAGGAAACAGCCGAGCTCCCTGTCTTTAAGAATTTCTTCAGCATCCCTGTAGACGGACCAACAACAGCTTTAAATTCTCCAAATCCTAACTTTAAAAAGTGTTTCAAAGACATTTGGAGAACATTTACAGGAACAGCCTGGTAGATTATGGGCATAGCGAGGTGGATTGTGTGCTGCACCGTGGAAATTCTATTTCGTTACAGTCCCTTTCCATAAACTTGCCACTGCCAATCACGTAAGTGTGCACTGAATGTGGGTGTGTGTGGGAGGAAAGGCCAGTAGGTGCCAGTGGGTGTGTTACAAAGTGGACACTTTCCATCAGAGGAAAGGTTTATTTTTATTTTTTTTTTATTTTTTGGATACATTTTCACAATATGACCAAAAATAAAAATAAACACATGAACAAAAAGCCTTGTGTCTTTTTACATTACTACATTATATGTTTTTAAATTATATGTAAAGAATTTTTTTTTTAATGTGGCTTTAGCAGCTTAGAGGATATGATTTGGTTTTAGAAAAAAAAACTGGGTGTAAAAAATGATTATTTCTTAGTTTGCTATTTCCATTTTTTTCCTTTTATGAATCCTTACCGTCTTGTGATGAAGCCCAGGAACCAAGCTGGAAGGAGTCCGTTGCTGACCATGAGTGGCACTTGAGTCTCTATGAACCACTTTGATGTCAGCTCCCTGAGTCTGACTTCAGTCCCGTCTGCGTTTGGATCCCCTGTTGTGTCCCTTTGCTCCATCCTCGTCCGATCCTGATTAAAAACACACCGTCATCCGCTGAAGACAACCAGCATTTATTCCCCAATGTTTGCTGTGTGGCAGCATTTTAACAGTCTAATTTGCTTATTTTCCAGGAGGCGTCAACCACAGCCTGAAAGCAGCTCAATGTTCTCCTAGCTTTAAATGAAAGTCATTGGCTGCTGGAAAAGTACGGTTACACCTGTCTGTGTAAAGCGAGCTTCTAGTTTAGTACACAGCATTTATTTGCTGTTACATGATATCTGATGTTTTAGAGAAAAAATATTCAAAATCCACAATGTTCTTGTTTTACTCAAATAATACTTTGAGGTTTTATAATCTATCTCGAAGTCAAACATCACATAAAAGCAAGTTAGTCACTAAAACAGTCAGCGACTAGTTCGAAAAAGATTTGTAAGCAGTTCTTACCTTGAAGCAAAATTTTAAATAGGTCCTAATGCAGGGAGATTTTGTCTGTTTTTGATCCTTTGGTCTCGACTGTGAAACGCGGCACACCTTTTCAATTCTGGGATACTGTTGTCTGTAAAGTAAACAGCAATTCCTTTCAATCCCTGGAAAGAAAATATCAGAAAATTAATTTAATTATGAATAATTTAATTATAAAGTTCATACAATATTCCTATAAAGTATTTAACAATGGCGAGAGTACATACCTTTCCTTGAGATTGTCACTGTGTGGTTTGAACCCGGTGTCATTTCAGCAAACATTAAAATACTTCTCTTAACTTCTGAACCGTCTCTAATCTCCAACTGAAAGTGTCTTGAGGGAGTATGACACTACATGGGAGATATAGACAGATGACATTTACAATTACACATATTTTTCCACTGGTCTGGAAAGTAGAGGTACATGGCAACGGGCAAGGCGCAGTTCAAACAGTTCATTTGCATCAAAAAGACAGCTGAAGGCTGCTGAACAATGTGAGAGCTTCCTGAAGAGAAACGGAAAGTAAGCTTTACAGAAACTGTGGTTTGTGTGCACACGAGTGCATTGGTTTGCAAGAGGAGATGTTTAACCCACGGAGTGTCTGATTACCAGAGTAATGGGAGATAAGTTGCGTCAGCAGTTGATCTTTTGTGTTTTCTGATCTGGGTTTGAAGTAAGTTCAGATCATTGTTGCTAAAGCTGGACCAAATATGTGTAGGAATGGAAATGTTTGGAAAGACTGTGTATGTTTGAACAGATTTGGAGGGTAGAGGGTGGGGCAATAAACAAAGCCCCAGTAAGATGAGGTATTTCCAAGCTTGTTTTTCAGGTTCACATACAGTAAATACCTGCTAACTCATTCCCCCCATTGGTTGGGACAGGCGTCATGAATCACCTCCAGCAGTTTTTGCTCTGTGGGGAGCAGTAGGAACTCCCACTGGGGGAGATGCAGTAACGAGAAAGAGTCTGTGTCATAGCGAGCAGGATGAGATGGGATTTCACAACTGGATTTTAACATCACTTACAATTTGGAAACATGTTTCCTGTTTATACACAACAGATCAAACACTTGGGTATTGTGTACAGCAATGTCATTTAGTGTAATTTAATTTAATTTAGACGGATGATCGCAGAGCCAATAACTGAACTGTTATGTTCCACAAATGAGTAAGAGCTGCTGTACAGTACCATGGCCTAGAATTTCAACACTCTCTTAAGGCGGCTCTTGTTGTTCTTTGTGAGTCATTGTGTGCTCCTCTGTGGGAGTAGTAAGGTTTGGGGTTAAATGTTATCACCGGTCCAATGAATCCAATGAACATTACATTCGACCGATCGCGCTGTGTGCTGCACGTAAAAGGATCGGCAGAAATTTATTTTATCTGCAGCACATATAAAAAAAGGTGCCAGACAGGAGGATGTCTAGGCTGATATTTTTTTTAGCCTAACACATGTGGGTGTGGGTCTTATAAAAGGTCACAAGTCAGTTTAACAAATGCAAAATGTCATTGCAACGGAAGCACATCACCTTTGTTTACAGTGTCCTTTGAAACCTCAGGGCAAAACATGGATCCTAACATCACAAAGAGACTAATACTTCTAATTGTAAGAAAACTAGCAGGTTACTGTTATTACAGTATTACAGTATTACAGTATTGCATTTTGCTTTTTTAAGATGCAGTTTTATCTTTGACATCTCAAGTGGGGAAACATCAGGTGTATTTCCCAGCATAAGACAAATCATCCACTGTTTACCCACAGCACTGGGGCAAAACTAAATCATATTCACATCTGCAACCATTAGTCACCAAAACATCCTGAACATGTGAAACTTCTGCCAGCTCTGAATCCAGGAGACAAATTTCCTGTAATCACTTCAATATCTCCTCTTTCGCACTCTAGTTAAGCGAGCTATGGATTCGACTTAGTCACATATATGCTGTAGGTTTTATGAAAAGTGGAAAGGTACGTCATTTCAGGTGGTGATATTTTATTGGAACATTTCTTTACTTCTTTTTGACTTATCAGTTAAATTGTAAATAATGCCACTATTTATGTATTTATTTTCATCCATTATTAGAATAGATTGAGAAAAGTGACAGTGAGATAGAAGAAAGTTAAAGTAGGCTCACTGTGGTTACATGCACTTTAGCACTAACCCAACACCCTGACACACTTTATGGCATCTGTGGCTTTATACTTACTGCTTAATTTGGAGGTAAAAAAAAAATCAACAAAGTATGGCGAGGGTTGTTTGTATCTCCAAAAATGTTCATTTTTTAATGCTCTTCAGCTCAAAATCTCTGTGCATTTCTAACATTAGATCACTCTAAACACCTCTCTTAGCCTTAATAGGGCTTTGACTGTCATGTAAGCATGGAAATGCTAAAAACTGGAGGAAGATATACCTATATTATTTGTCATCTTTTTAACCGTCAGGTAGGCAATACAGGCAGCTACTCTGAGGTGACAAAAAGCTCCCAGTGGTTTGGATTTCCAGTAGATCTCTGACCTGCTCACTGTTTATAACTCAGTCACCTGTCAGTCCTTCAGGTGGAGATCTGGTAAATGTTTGTCATTGTCCTAAGGCATTGTAAAACCTGCTTAGATTTATGTTTTTATCTCACGTTTTAGCACACTGAATCTATGTATAATGAAATGTGCTATCTTAATAAAATTACCTGAGCTATTTATTACGTTTTTTAAAATTTACAGCTGCATCCTGACATATTCAGTGTCTGTTCGAGGTAATAGATACAAATTGTGAAACACACACCGCCATAAACAGTACAAAGCAGTTGAAATTAGCATAACAAGAACAAGAATTACAAGATCGGCTGCGTGTGACACGGGCGTGGGTGTGGGCACCGCAGATCATTTTGTGCCGAGGGCAGATAACAGAACGCATTTTTATTTCTCTTTCCTATGTAGGCCTCATATCTTTTCTTCTATCTTTTGATTACAGTTTTTTCCTTTACAATTCGTTGGAGGATTGCTGCTCATTAGCCCTCAAAGCTGGCTGCTCATCTGATCACACACCGCCACCTAGCGGCCCACAGAGCCGCTATACTCCACCCCAACCAGCAAACCAACCACGTCATCCCCGGAGCTGAACTACATGTCCCATGCTCCTCTGTCAAAGAAACGGACAGTCATGTGGATGGAAACAGGAGTGGGCATCCGCTGTGCTGCAAGAAGAAGAAACTTCGAGGAAAGATGCACGAAGAGGAGGATGGCAGCGAGGCGCACTCCTGCACGGCTTCGCGATTCGTGAACTCCAGGTCCGTGGATGTGGCCGACATCGAGGGAGCGAAGGAGCAGGCCTCCAAACTGTGCGGCTACTTGAACAAACTATCCGGCAAGGGGCCCTTGAGGGGGTACAAGCCGAAGTGGTTTGTGTATGATCCGAGGAAATGCTATTTGTATTACTTCAAGTCTCCCCAGGATGCCCTGCCGCTCGGACACATCGAAATATGCGATGCGTGTTTCAGCTACGATTTGGACGGGGAAGAGGGTCAGTTTGAGATCCGCACGGCCGACAAAGAGTTTCTACTTAAGGTAGGAACTTTTCTTTCTTTCATTAAACGTGTGTTGACAGCATTGCAACGAGGTCTGCTTTTCGTGTCATTTGTCACTTCCTTTCTCGTTTGGAAAAGGCAGACACGCCCTTCTCTTCTTTCCTTTAAAGAAAACAGATTTAGACTCAGCTGTTTTTAGGCAATAAAGTACATATTTCTGCTCGGCAACAACGGGATCTGATGCGATTCTGACGCGACCAGAAGAAGAAAATCTGTTTGTTTGTTTGTTTGTTTTTTTTTTTAAAAGCCAAATCAATTTCTCGCACAAACCAAGCGCTTAATCAGCGCATTCTCCCAGCTGATTGCCTGAAAACACCGTCAGTCCTCTGTTTTGTGTTTAGACATTTTTACACAGGAGCTCATCTGCCTTCACGGGTCACAGCATCTCATGTGACGGTGTCCTGGTGCTGTCATATGACTGTGACGGGTTCAGCACCAAGACAGGTGCCTCTGGTTTCACTCAGTCAGTTCTAGTCTGTCTTATTTTTTTAAGTGTCTATGCTTAATACCAAGAGAGAGAGAGAGACAGAGAGAGCTGGAACTGAGACTGAAACCAGTGTCTGTGCTCATTCACATGACAGATCCTAATAGTGTCAAGTTGTCCTCATTTTCCCTTTCCATTTGTCGCTGCCTTGATTTCCTCATGGAGATGCCTTTTAAAACGTCATCTCGCTCACTTTGCTGTGTTTAAAATGGCGTGCTTAAAGATTTCAAAGATCTAAAGTCTAATTGAGTGTGCGTTTGTGTCCTTCTAGGCTCCCAGTAAGCAGGTGATGCACTACTGGCTGCAGCAGTTGCAGCAGAAACGTTGGGAGTACAGTAACATGCGAGGCACTGGTCAGAGAGACAGCTGGAACTCCCCGACGCTGGCCTATCCTCACACCGGCCTTGTAGGCAAAGATAATGGTAGGCAGGTTCGCACGCACTCACACATACAGTGGATATGTTATCAGTCGGTCATTTCATCATATCCGGGCAACAACTGAAAGTTTACACAGGCGCTACAAATCACAAGAGTCTCGGGTATTTTGTTACCAAGTTTCTGCAGGAAAATGTTTGAGTGTTTCGAAAGGGTAAAAGTTCAGATTGACATCATTCGGCTTGTGTTTTGTTTTAAGCAGAAAGCTTTTTGAGCTGTGGCTGTGAAGCCAAGGCGCTGGTATCGTAACCTCACGTCTAAACAAATATAAAGTAGTCAGTCAAGTAATGGTCTGTGACAAAAGTGATATGTTTATTTGTTTTCCAATTTTTTTTAATATAAATTTTTGAGAGGAGAACAACCAGACTCATTTGAACTGATGGGAAGGGAACAGTAACAGAAGAAAATCCAAAGGATGCAGATGAGGGTCTTTCACTTCACAGCATGTCAGATTGACAGGGTCAGAATTTGTCATAAACACCATGAAAGCATGGTGTCATCTTGCCTTATATCAGTACAGCCTGCTGCGGGTGGCGTTAATAAAAACTGAGCATTGTTTATGCTCAGGAAGGCCTTCCTGAGCATTGTTCCTGAGCATTTCCATCCCTTTATTACCACAGCAGCTATCAGAACACAGTCACCGATGGTGGCTTCCAGTTTGATTGTGTGACATGTCTCAAAGCTCGCATCATGCAAAGCTGATGATTTAAGCGTTTGAATGGTCTTGAAGATCTCAGTGAGTGCTCAAACGTGCTCTCAATCCAACAGAGCACCTTTAGGATGCGCTGTAACGGGAGATTTGCATCATGTGTGCGCAGTAATTGTGTGATGCTGTCATGTCAGCATGGACCAAAATCTCTGAGGAATGTTTCTTGTTGTTATGTAGCTCCAGAAGCAACATGGTGGCCAGCGTGGCCTAGCAAGGTGTACCTAATAAAGTAGCCGATGACTGTATACGCCAGTGCTGATATGTTTGAATGAGTATCTGTTGGACTCTATATAAAATATGAATCTCATTTGTTATCCAGCAGAAGTGGAAAAGAAAATATGTACATTGTTGTTGGGCAATGGACACACGCATTTTTAAACCTGCTTACATTTGAAAACAGGGATTCTTCTGCATGCTTTGTGATTAGCGGAGTGAAACGACCTGTGAATCCTGTTTCCTTTTCTTGTCCATGTCTTTCTTTCCTAGAATGTTCTCGGTGCACATCTGTCTTCAAAAGCAACAAACGCCTTGGTTATCACCGCTTATCAGTGCTGTTGTCGCCGTGTTTCGTCTAACACTCCGCGACTTGTTGATTTCTCTGTCGATTCAGAATGAACACTCTTTTGTTTCTTGTTCTCGTATTTATTTGCGTTTCGCTTTTCGGTCTCGCCTTGAACCTGCTCGGTGCAGTGAAGTGCACGAGAGAGCTGTGAGATCAGCGATGTCTGGCGTCAGCTCAAACCATCCCTCGAGCTGTGTTTTTATGTCGCACTTTTTATAGCGAAAGACTCACATGCCCGGACTTAGCAAGTCTAAGTAAGCGTCGACTTTTGAAGCTGTAAAAGGAAAGCGTGCTGCAACGTTCAGAAGTTAAAACTGGTTCAGAAGTAGACATAGTAACACATAATAAAGACATAATAAATTAGACATATAAAGGACGTTGGTTTTTATTTTCATTCTTGGAGATGCCACTTCAAAGACTTCAAAGATTTTATCAGAGCCGTGCGAGTCTGATCATAGGTGCGTGGCGCTGGCTGCACTACATGTTGTTGGCCATAGTCTGTGTGTGAAGTCTCACAGCATTATTAATGTCACTACCTCGATGATTTAAAGCCAGGTGTGGCATGGGTCGATGAGAAATGGAGGCCTGCCGCACACTCATATGGAAGTGATTTGTCACTCGCAAGGTAGGCCAGCACATCCGCTGCTTAGTCATCCTTTTTATTTTTTTAGTCTAACTGGAAGCATAATATATGAAAACGAAGCAGTATTCATTGAAGCTTAACAAATAGAGCCTGACATCATGAACTCATCAGGAAAGTGTTTACTGAAGTCACAGACAAAGGAAGCAGAAAGAGGTGTTTTCCCACAGACAGACTTCATTTTTCCAAGTATGACTCAGACACCCCCTGCTGGCAGTTTAAACCACTTCTGCAGTAGCATCACTTTTTATGACACATCTAACAAATAAAAAAGCTTCTTTTTACTAATTAATTTCATGTTAAGAAGGGGGTTGGTGGTCTCAGAAAGAAGCAATCGTTAGAAAGCAGGTATTGACTCTCATAGGTTTCACCCGGCTGTGCATCTTCTTTTTGGGAAGTCAGTCTTTGGTGTCATTTTGATTTGATTTTTGTTTAGTTAGAACAGATAATTAAGTTCTTTTGGTCTTTTTTTTTTCTCAGATGCTTTCAGCTTTGAGAAGCCATGTGAAACCATGGAGAAGGTCCGCAGTGATTTTTCCATGGACGACGAAACAGAGGGCGCTGGAATGGTGGGAGCCCAGACAGCCAGAGGGCCCTCCACGAACCCCCTCAATTTCTCCCTGAAAAACTTTGGCACGGAGCTCAGGTAAGTGTAACGAAAGCTTTCCAGGAAATAATCTGTACCCAGACGGGGTTTAAAACGCAAGTATACAGCTCTATAAAATCTTGTTCTTTTTCTCTTTTTTTTTAAGGTCGCCGCCAAACAGGCACGACTAGTTTGTCTGCTGTGTTGAGCAAAGAAAGCACTTCTTAGTTCATCCAGACACTGGTTGCAGTAGAGGAAATGGTTACATCCATGGTTCACTTGTTTTTCTAGTATGCAACCATCAGCAGTTCCCCTTTTTGAGATGTACAACACATCTATTGAAAAGAGGCAACATGCTGCAATCCTAAAAATGTGACATGTAGACTGGAGTTTGCTTTGTATGTGTCCCTTATTAAGGGAGTCATGGAGTCCCAGAGTTTCACTGCTCCTAAACCCACACCACGGTGCCTTTTATACACAGTAACAAAGGTATCAGTATAGTAGCTGCCTGATATGTGACTGAATCTGCGAGAATTGCAGCTCTCGGAGCTAGAAACCCCTCCCCCTGATTAGAAAAGAAGTGGCTTTAGAATACTTCAGTACTGTGATGTTAACTGCTTTTGTCACATTTATACCCATAAAGTTTGAGAAAAGCACGAGCGCTCTTTAGTCACTTTGGTTTTGCCAGGTGGAAGTCAGAAACGTGTGGTTTAAACACATCCGATATCTATAAAAATATAGAGAGAGAGCTGATGTGTGAGGCAGACTTGCGCTTCATTGTGTTGCATACAGCAGAAACAGTTGTTGACATGTTGCAAGGGTGAGGTGTGAAAAACAAGTTTGACACCATTAGCTTTACTTTTTCCTCCAAATGTTAGTTTCTTGCAAAAATGCCTTTGTGTTTATTATCTTTGTTTTTTCTCTGTTTGTCCGACGCTGCAATCTCGTCGGCCTTTCGCAGCAGCATCAGTTTTCCTCTGTGGTTCATCGTAGATCTCTGTGGATTTGTCACTTTTCATACCGTGCTTTCTTTAATCTCTAAAGACCCTTTTTTTTGTTGCAATGAAATGTGTGAGAAACCTGTGAAATAAAAAAAATAAAATAAAAAAATAAATGATCTCCTTATTTCTGTCAGGAACTCCATGTCTCACCTGCGTGGGGGACGACGCAGCGTGTTTTACACTAGCAACAGTCCCTCGGAGGAATGGGAGCTCGTGGATCCGCCAAAGGACTTTACTGAACAGAAACATCATCCGGACACACACAGACGTACGTCCACTCCCACCCACCCTTCTGCCAGGGTTTAACACTCATCCTCAGCGTACATTTTTCCCAAGGGTCACAGATAACAGCTGATGGACTTGTGTTTTCCCTCAGATTCCTTTGGATCGGCGTTTACCTTTGATTTTGTGCGCAACCCCTCGCGGCCTAAGAAGCTTTTGCTGGGCTCTGGAAAGTTAGGCCGCAGTGCCGAAAGCTCGCCGGTGGAATGTAACGGCAGCAAGTCTTTGGAAATGCAGCTTCGCCTCCAGAGCCAGCAGCAGCAGGAAGAACTGAGTCGCTTGCAGCAGGAAGAGGCTAAACTCAAGGAAGAGCTGGCCACCCAGAAGGTATAGTTGGATCTCTTCTACTACTGTATTTATAACAGCATAACACATGTCTATGGATTGGATCGGATAAAAATGTAATATTCTGTTTCTACTGAAAGTGAATGATCCCTGTTTGTAGTGTCAGACACCACAAGCCTAGGTTTGTGGTGTCTGACCAAGTGCCTTGGTATAATACTGATACTCTCACTATTACGAGAAGTCAGCAAATGATTAGTCATGTTTTAGCAAGAAGCAAAGAAACAGCAGACAGCATTCACAGCTCTCGCACTCCTTCCCTTTATTTTCTGTTCTCTTTTTTTCCCTCTATTTTAAGGTTGGCTGATTGGTCAAAACCGCTGTGACTAGGCAGAAGAGTGAATACTT